TTCGGTTCTTCGGTTCTTGGTCTAGACCCGAGACCCGACCCAAACCCGTCGGTTCTCGATTCGGGTACCCGTTCGGGTATTTAATTTATGAAGAACCGCTCGATTCGGTTCGGTTCGGTTTGGGACTTTTGGACACCCCTAGAGGTGGGGCATGGTGGGCCGCACCTACGTGTGACAAGACTGTAAAATTTACTGTGAAGGAGGACTGTACATTTAGTAAAATTGAATTTACTGTACTATAATTGATATGTTAAGATGATGGTGATGTGATATTAATTGATTTAACATGGACAACAGTTCCGAAGAATTTTGAGTTGTATCTCAAATTTTACGAAAGAAATAGTTGGATAACTGATCTTTAGTCATGTGATGTCTACACATCCTACTTCATCAAGTCGATCTTTTCTTTTCGACTTGAACTTGTGTCACAAAATTCCAAGGGACAATTTTCTCAATTTTAAAGAGTAATAAAGCCGAGTTCTTATTGTAGCCATGAGTTGGGGACCAATCACGCAATTCTAATTAGAGCAATGCTACTAGTACATCGGTGTGTACATTACGGTGTACACCCCCCTCACATGGGAACCAAAAAAGCCACAATTATTTGCACACAGTCGCTGTCCTTCGGCAGGCTCTTGCCATTTCTGTTCCTCCGCCATCCCAATCCGATCAAAAACCAAAACAATAATATGAGCGATTGATACAAATTTCACAAAATAACAATCAATCGCTCAATCCCACAAACAATGGGAAATTAGTCAAATTACATGCAAATGGAAGCAGAAACAGAGACAGAATGAAAAGGAGAACGTGTTTCGTGGCGGAGAGGAGAAAGGGGTATAACAAGGGGTAGAAATTGATGGGTTTGGAAATTTGGTGGCTTGATTTTGAGGAAATTTATTGGAAAAGGGCGTGAGGTTTCATTGAAATGCGTTGAAGCTACGTTAAGGAGACGGCAGGTGTATGCTTTAGGATTTCTTCAAGGACACGAAATCATTGTCTTACAGTTAATGGCTACAAGGAAAAAGTCTACAGGGATTTCCTTGTCTCATACAGGTGCTGATGTGGCGAAACCTAATTTACCTTCGTTTTTCCTCTTCCAATGATTCAGAATCGTGTCATGTGTTGTCTGTCAAAATATCTTTTTACTTATAGCATGATTGTAAAATTTTCTTGAACACTTACGGTCCCCCTTCACAGCCCACTCACATGGAGGTGGGGCATGGTGGGCCCCACCTACGTGTGACAGGACTGTGAAACTTATTGTGAAGGAGGACTGTACATTTAGCAAAATTGAATTTACTGTACTATAATTGATATGTTAAGATGATGGTGATGTGATATTAATTGATTTAACATGGACAACAGTTCCGAAGAATTTTGAGTTGTATCTCAAATTTTACTAAAGAAATAGTTGGATAACTGATCATTAGTCATGTGATGTCTACACATCCTACTTCATCAAGTCGATCCTTTCTTTTCGACTTGAACTTGTGTCACAAAATTCCAAGGGACAATTTTCTCAATTTTAAAGAGTAATAAAGCCGAGTTCTTATTGTAGCCATGAGTTGGGGACCAATCACGCAATTCTAATTATTTACTAAATTCCACATACCAGTGTTTTGAAAGAGATTCGACCGAATAGCCTGAAAACCTAAAATGGATGTGAGCGATTAAGTGAGACTAAATCCTTACATCTCTAGCATTAAATGTGTTCTGAGTTAAGGACGAAGCTCGTACTTTAGGTACCCGAATGGTTCCAAAATTATATTTGGAACCGACGGGTCCATTTACTAAATACCCGAAAATTTTTGGAACCGAAAAAAACCGAACCGAACCGAACCGAACCGACCCGCGCCCACCCCTACCTAAAATGGATGTGAGCGATGAAGTGAGACTAAATCCTTACATCTCTAGCATTAAATGTGTTCTGAGTTAAGGACGAAGCTCGTACTTTAGGTGGAGTATTCTAATTATATATACAATACAGTGTTGAAATGAACATAATTATATTATATCAAAAATATTAAGTGGAAAATATAAACGTACCATACATCTACTTTCCTCATAATTTATTTTTATTACCAAAATCATCCACAAGAAATTAGAACGCAAGTTTTAGAATACGACCCTAAAACCCTACTAACAGACTTACAATAAAAGCCAAATAAAGGCTCAATATTTATCACTTTGACCACTTTATGAACATAAAATTTCAAAACATGAGCAAGATTTCAATTACTCGTGAGCCGATCCAATTAACGATGGATCTTCATCTTCAGCATCGAATTCCTGCTCGACACCTTTGACTTCGGGTACATAATGCATTAGCATGTTCTCGATGCCAGATTTCAGAGTAACGGACGAGCTAGGGCAGCCACTGCATGCTCCTTGCATCCTTAGTTTAACTATTCCCGTGTCTGGATTGAATTCTCGATACTCGATGTCCCCACCATCATCTTGTACTGCTGGACGGATACGAGTCTCCAACAGTTCTTTGATCATTGCAACAGTCTCTGAATCATCTTCATGGATAGCTGTGTCCATGGAAGCTGCAGTATTTGAATCAAGGAATAATGGCTGCCCCGAGGAATAAAAATCCATTATTGCTGCAAAGATTTCGGGTTTTAGAAAATCCCATGAAGTGTCTTCTGACCTAGTCACGGTTACAAAATCTGATCCGAAAAAAACCCTAGTAATTCCTGCATCGATAAAGGATTGCATCAAAGCAATTAAAATGGATTCTTGACATGGAAAAAGGGGAAACTAAAATGAAAGGTTGAGTATAATTTAGTACAATCACAAGACTACTTCCAAGAAATGGAAACGTGACAGACTCATGGGATCGGCTGAAGTTGAGAAACATGCATAGAACTAAATGAATTATGAAACTGAGATGAGAACCAGAGAAGTATAGAACGAGTCTCACAATAAGTTCAGGAATCGAGCCACTTAACAAAACTGCTTTTTCTCTAAAATATTCCTTTGCCCACATTTTCTTTTACAAGTGACACCATCTAACTTTAATTTTCCAATATAATAGCTGATAATAAAAGTCTAGACGCCAACGACAAGTTTTACCTATCAATTGTAAATAAAGAACCCAAAAAAGACGTATGCCAAACATCAAAAATGAAAAAGAGATCCATGTTTCATGACAGGTCAGTATTGGCAACTTGTTAAACTGATGTTAATTCACATAGCTGCATAAAGGCATAATTTGGATCCATTGAGAAGACATTAAAACCTACCCAACTCAAAAAACTGATACAGAAGAAGCTTATATAAAAATAATACTCTCTCTATCCCACAAAGATAGACTTGTTTTCCTTTTTTGTTTGTCACAAATAACTTTTCCCCATTTTTTAAACACGCATTCTCCTAAAAATCACTATTCAAAACTCTTTTTCTACCAAAATAGTTGTCAAACAGGCACTATGTTTTCTTCATCTGTGTGAAAATAGAAATAAACTTATCTTTACGAAAGGGTGAGAGTAACTAAAGAATAGAATATAATTACCCACGAGTTACCCTAATCGCTAACAAGGTTGTTATGCCATAAGATTAATAACAGCGCAGCTATCACATATAACGCTTCTAAAAGACATTTCTACACCCTAGTTGTTTCAAGGCTCTAAAACTCTACTTACAAAACAAAGAAAAAATTGAAGGCACAATTTCCATCTTATTTGAAACATGGATTACACACACATTAAGGGTCTAACTGTTGAAAACAAGTTAAAAATTTACAAAGAAAACACAAAATGACAAATTTGTCGTTTCGAGTGTTTTCAATTATAATCCAGCCAAAATTTTCAAAATGCGTTTTAGGTGTGTTCAAAACAATTTTTCAAAATGCGAAAAAGAACACATTTTCAACAATCTCAAAATGGACATTCAAAATACAAAACTCAAAATGAATTCAAAACTCAAAACACAAAACTGAAACACAAAGAAAACAGCCCTTAAGTCTTTCTTCCATGTGACTCCAAATCTCTATAATCTATTTGCATACTCGATGCAACGCCAATGACGAGGCCAGGGTGTGAGGTTGTCAAGAACATACTTGTACACCTTTGACAATCTCTAAAGGTCCACAAGTCCAAGTTATACGAAGTTATCTAGTAGAATCGATAATATCCAATGCAGAAACAATAAAATGATAGGACCTTTTTAAGACACTCTCATTAGTTTTTTATTTAGATGGGTAGTGTTTTAGCTAGGGTGAGAGTGAGAAGCTTATAAGCAACAAATGATGCATTAAACAGGACAGCCAACAAATGCTGCATGAAACGGTGCCTCCTAAGATATTTTCTATTCACACATGCTCTGATCGCGAACAGTCCTTCGTACTAACTGTTGAAAACTCTATTTAAACCAAGTTGATGACCCTATCCAATGCAATATCTGGAATGGCATCAAGCAACCTCAGATTGAGTCATTGAGAACCTGATATTACTACGAGCTTTAACTGTTCAAATGTTGATAGGCTGCCTGAATTGCAGAATTAAATTCAACAAGAAGCAAAGGCCAGAAATAGATTCCAGTCACAGGCTGAACAATTTATTATTTTCAGCAGATGGTAGGTGGAGACCAGAAAATAGACTCAAATCCATAGGGCTAAGGGGCAGTTCAAGCCCTGAAAGAGCAACACACGCAATAGATTTTTCAAAAGATGCGAGTCATTGAACCTCTTTCGTTTCTACATTAAAAAATACATACAGGCGGACAATTCACATAGAATTTAACAATTAAGCAAGCTAATCGGGCCACAATTCTGGTGGATGATGCCTGTTTTGCCTAATGTCACCTATGATTAAGCGACTATTGATTTTAACTAAGAAAATAAACCTCCAATCTTTTCAATTTTCAAATAATAAAGTTTCCCAAACCATTAATATATTACGGTGTGCTTGATTGCAAGTATAGAACTGCATGGAAAGAAAATAAGTTCTACGCAATTGAATTGCCTGTAACTTATTTGCATGAAAATTGTCAATTAAATGTCAATTGCCTGGAACTTATTTGCATGAAAATTGTCAACTAAATGTCTTTGATTGACTTAATTTTTAACCTAGAAAATGTTGTATTTTCACATAAAATTGAGTTTTTAGGAAGTGTGAATTGCCTAAAATTTTAAAACCTACCACCCCCACCCTATAAAGAAAACGTTTTCCTTGTTTTTGAGGAAAATATGATCACGTAATCAATTTTTGAAAAATATTTTCCATGGAAAAAATGTGAATTGAACACCGCAAAAGTAGGAACTTTGGTGGAAAAATGACATTTTTCATAGAAAATAAAGCTTATCAAACACACCCTTAGAGTTTGCAACAGAGGAATTTATTGCTCCATGTCACCACACCCTCCCGCAAAAATACTCTTCCACAGTTGATCCATAACCAGTAGTCTGGTACAGTGCCTATGTGCCTCTACTAGGTGTTTTTTTTTCTTTAGTCCGACTTCAAATTCCTAAATGATTTCTTCCAAGAACTTTGCTATAGCAAATATCTGCATATCTGGGTCAAAGGAGCTCACTTTGCTCTTCAACACATTGGGAGCTTCATCTGTATACTTTCCTCCAATGAGATTGTAGAATACACCAAGTATTCTCAGTGGCAATGAATTGTGCTCTTGAATTTGGATCAAATGGAAATTAAATTCAAATTTGTATGCAATAATTGTAATTAAAATTTCAAGGCTTCAATACCACGCTCTAATGCAGCCAAGGGAACTGTCACTTGATTATTTTTATTGTGATAAAAAACTAGCTTTTGTTTTGCTGAAGTCAGTTGCGAGCTGTTGGTAACAGAAAGTTGAAGTTAGGCCTTCAGACATATAGTTGTTGCTTAGCTAATTAAAAGCTTAATGAGATATGAATGTACATAGCACCACAGCAGCTAGCAGCCTGTTACCAGTTGCATTTATCAGATTGAATTAGAATTAAGAATTCTAATGGAGGCAAATGGTTTGTTTGCCAAAGATATAAGTTTGATGGGGCAAGTGCCGACAAGTACTTACTCATGCCGAGTAAATGAATTGCTCCCAGCTCATTGTAAATCTTTGAAGAAATAAAAAATAAATGATGCTAAACAGTGAACAGTTAGTTATGAGAATAGATCCAATGTTAAACAGCCTTCTTTTGAGATAATTCAGTAATTCTTCAAAGTACCAACTTTTTCCTCCATCTTTTTCACATGGTTAATTAAAGAATAGAGATAATATAGTAGTACTACTTTTTGCTCTGACTAGGTTGTGCACTATTTATAGGCAAAGGTTGATGGTTACGTAATCACTTTATTTGGAGTGACTTTGATATTGTCTTGTGTTAGTTTTTCGGACCTTTCTCATCACATTTTAAAAGTGAGGGCATCTGTTCTGGGCTCAAGATCCATTACATGACAACAAAGCTGGTAAACTAATCTCTACCAAATAGCCCACTTTTCTAGATAACCCACACTCTTCCCCTCTATCAGGAACCCGTTAACCCAACGGGGTGAAAATGAAATAAGGTGGTATTAAACTACCAGCTAAGCCCCTGTTTGACTCCCTTTAAATTAAAATTTTTTATTTCTCACTCATTTTCAACCGCACGTTCACACAATAAAATATTTTGCATGTAAATCCAAAAGTTTTTCTATTTTTTAACCACACTTTCTTTAAAAAATAACTATTCAAAACATTATTTTCCCCCAATTTCTCTTTATAATGGCTATCAAACTGTGGCTAATTATCGTATGCACTCAACAGCTTATCCAGGAGGAGCCCATACTACAGCTCGCCATTCAGAGTGTGTTTGGTAGGGATTTTTGTGAAAAGAATTGATTTTTGAATAGTGATATGATGGGAAATGTGTGGTTGAAAAAGAAGAAAAAATTATTGATGTGATGGAAAATATTATTTTATTGAAGAATGTGTGATTGAAAATGAGAATTGATTTACTGTAAAATTTGAGAATTTGTGAAAAGAATTGATTTTTGAATAGTGATATGATGGGAAATGTGTGGTTGAAAAAGAAGAAAAAATTATTGATGTGATGGAAAATATTATTTTATTGAAGAATGTGTGGCTGAAAATGAGAATTGATTTACTGTAGAAAATGAAAATCTATACCAAATAGGCCCTCATATTATTTCCCTACCTACTGCTTCTGATTTGAGCATCAATGGGTCTACATCATCAAATCTGGCACACTTTGTCACTTGTTTGCATACGTGAATATGGAAGGAAGAAACTGATTGATGGAAAATGATATCGAGCAAGCTTGACCAAAATGCAAATACAAACATTTTCACGAGTTTAATTTACCACTACCTGAATGAGGTGTAGGATGAATAAATTAGGGCTATCTTAAGTTCTAGTCTTTTTTGAGTTTTGACAATTGCAAGAATACTTCCAAGTCTTCAAATGCCCAAACATTTTCATAGAAATCAACCTACTTTGACAACCAGTGCAGTTAGTGTGAAATTCAAGAAAAATGAAAAGTAGATTCAGGGATTATGCTATTCAATTCAACATGCAAGTCACAGGAGTTAAGCTAATAACTTTCGTACTACCAAGTTCAAAAAAATCAGATTCACTAAAAACAAAAAAGGGGGTTGAAAAGGATGACAAAATCTCAACTACAATCACATCAACCAGAAATTCATAGTATTAGGCTAAAGGTAATTCTTACCATCTATTCCGAAGAGGGCTTTCGCCAGTGCAGAATTCATAGCAGAACGTGCATTTGGAAAGTCCGCGCTCCCCGCCTCCATAACAGGCTTTCCAGGATAAAACATAAGTGATGAGGGATTAGGAGTTGATTGCGTCTGGATAAACATGGTCCTTCTCTGCCCTGTCCACAGCAAACAATAAACTGCAATCAAAACAACTACAACAAAAAACAATCTCATTTCCCCTTCCCCTTACATAACGAGTAAATATTAAATAGCTAGAATCCCATCAAACTAATATCAGAATAATTTCCTCATAAACTCACAAACTCGAAAGATTTTTAACAACAAAATATAAATGTTTAACATAAACAACAAAGAGTCGAAATTGAGGAAACTAACCTTGGAAATGATTCCATTGAAAGGGGCGTAAAGAAGATTTCAACGAGGCTAAATCGGGCTGATTTCTTGAAGAAGAAGAAGAAGAAGAAAAAGGTAGTCGATGGGATACAAGATATACGCACAATCCTCGTGCAGCGCCATTTGATTTGTAGGGTTTTGATAACAGTATATTGTTATTATTGCTAGAGCGGATTGCTCGATACACCAGCCCTCCTATATTTTTCATTGTACGCCTCTGTCTCGAGGTTTTTGCAAACTGTTAGAAGAGGGATTTCTCCGTTCTTCCCTGTTTCTGCGTTGGTTTGGGAATTTTGTGGTAGAACTGTCAACTGCAGACGTGGGATTATAATAGGTGGGCTTATGAGCTGGATGTGTAAAGGAATATTGTATTATTTGGGCTGATATTATTCTTTCCTTTTGGGTCAAGAAATTAAAACTTGCATAAAATTTGTTGGTCCAAACTTCGAAGAGACCCTGATGGACATTTTTGCCCGAATAATTCCCCATGTACAGGGATAGTTTCATAGGGGCCTTACACGCCCCTCACGGTGGGGCAGGCCTCGCATGTATTAAAAAAAAATTGCACGGACTCCACCATGTGTGTTATCTGTAGAACACCTATAAAAAAAATTATGTAGCCCAAGCATTGTTCTTTTTACCCAGTCCAATGTGGGCATGCCCTTTCTACAACAGAGGCTGGCCAAGCCCAAATGGGGGCACGTATGGGCTCCACCCCTAGAAATAGTGATGGGATAAACTGAGAGCGCCCCTACACACTACAAATTTAGGGTGTGTTTGAATCGCATTATTTTGGAAGAATATATTATGGAATAGTAGATTGATGGAAAATGTGTAGTTGAAAAAGAAAGAAAAATTATTGATATGATGGAAAATATTATTTTATTGAAAAATGTGTGGTTGAAAATGAGTAGAAAAATGAGAATGAGAATTTTAATGTGGCTCAAAAGTGGGTGTTTTGTGGGAATTAAAATTAAATTTTTAGTAAATTGTGATAGAAGTTTTTGAAATGGGTAATTAAAAAGCTGTAGGACCCTTGAAAGATGTGATTAATATTGATTGTTTGACTTTAACTTAAATTAAAATATAATTTTAATCCAAAACAAACAGAGCCTTAGTAAAAAAAAAAGTTGAAAATTCAAAATTGTCATATTTTTCAATTTTCCAAAAAAGACCTCATTTTCATATAGTATTAATATTTCATCATTTTCATCTAAATTTAATATTTCAATATTTTTAATTTCACAACATTTTGAAAAAAAAAAAAAAATCCTCTCTAGTACATGTTGTGTTACCATATATTACTTTTATGTTACTTGCATTAAACTCACTCATTCACATGATTGATATGTTTTGTTACCATACATCACTTTTTATTGAAAAGTTCACATATTACGCAGGTAACATGTTGAGTTACCCTATGTTACCCTTACTTCTCATATCTAATTTTACACGATTCATATATTGTGTGGGCTACTTCTATTTTACCTCTATTACTTTTATTTTTTGTTCAACCAATGTCATTTACAAAATGTAAACTGCTTTTGAACCTTGTTGCCATCACCATTGTTGCCAAAATATCCATCATAATTAGTCCATTATCTATAATAATAATATATTAAATATCACATTAAGTGAAAATCATTTTTTGAATGATTTTAACCCTATTACAAGTCAATTATTTCAATAATAGTTTACTTTTCATATTTCAATATGTAATAAATACTATAAAATTCTTGTTTGTATGAATTTCATGTTATTAATTTTCAATTAATTAACATTTACACTAATTCAGACTCAATGAAATTTAATCTATATGAATCTAGAGTTATTAGAGATGAAATTATTTCTATTCATGTATCTAGAAATTTTAATGGGCTTTTAAATTCATATATTAACAATTAATTTTTACGTACAAAATATAGTATAAAGAAGTTGCTCTTTTGTAGTATTTCATTGTCACAAAAAATTTGAATCACATAAATTGAGTTTTGAGAGTGCAATTTTCTTCTCTTAAATTTCTATCATAAATTTTATTTTCTTTAGTTCATTTGGGACTCATCAAATCATCCCAACAAATTGGTATCAAATATTACTTTTACATCACTTATAAAATATTTTCGAACAATGCGCAATTCAACTTCAACTTTTACTAGTACCACAAAATTGCACTCAAACATATTGAAAAACATGATTATCACCACACAAAACTTGCGTTTTTAGGGGAGTGAGGGGAATTTGTTACACAACATTGAAATGTTTTCACATTTATGCTCTGAGAGAAGCAAGGGGATAATGTACCTAAAGATATTAAGTAGGTGTTTGGTGCGAATTAAAATTAGATTTTTAGTAGATTGTGATATAAGTTTTTAAAATTTGTGGTTGAAAAGTTGTGGGACTCATGAAAGATGTGGTTAATATTGATTATTTGACTTTAACTTGGATTGAAATGTGTTAGTGAAAAATTATGGGACTCATAGAAGATGTAGTTAACATTGATTGTTTGACTTTAACTTGGATTGAAATGTGTGGTTGAAAAGTTGTGGGACTCATGGACGATGTGGTTAATATTGATTATTTGACTTTAACTTGGATTAAAATTTGATTTTAATTCGAAACAAACTGGGTTTATATTTGGTCACTTGTGAACAACTGCAACTCCTCTTCTGGATGAACAACTTAGCATAGCAGAAATGGATCGCCAAATCCAAAATCTAGAAATTTTTTATCCACCTCCACCTCCATCACATCTCAAACCCCAACCACATTGCTAGTTGTCACCATCTCCAATTCAACCAACCACAAATTGTGAGGGGAATAAATACACGCTACACTCTTATTGTTTTGATCAAAATTTTGTTTTGCTAGTTGTTTTTAGCAAGGTTTTTAACGAGACAGCTTGACGTAACTTGTTAACAATATGAATAGAGAAAAATATTGTTCTTTTTTTTTTTCCATTAAAAAAATTGATAATTGATCGTTGTTCTCCTGTTTTCATAGGCTTTTAAAAAGTATTGGTCGAATATCACATGGTTCAAAAGACTTTTTTAAAGTTCATAAAATCTATACAAAATATCTTAAGACTTCTATAGAGTAAAAACTTTCTAGAAGTGGAGCTCAACATTATTATCAAGCAAATTTATTCTAAAACCCTGTCCATTATCAAACCTTTTATAATCAACAATCATTATGGATGACAATGAGGCGAGCCGGGACACCACCACCATGAAGACGCTGATCTCTTAGGTCCTTTCCTCTTCCTCGTGGCATTAGGACGCTTTTCCAACTCCTTGCAGTAAAACTCCATTTTGAGATTATCCTTCATGTGGTCGCCATGGGGTCATTGTTTTTATTCATTATTTGTTGTATGCTTGGCTAGAATGGAGATCTCTATATGTACGAGTGTCTCAGCTTAACTGAATGTGGCTTTACCCTTCGTGCCTGCTCGTGAAACGATGATCGCGGTATTTCCATGATATGGTCCAGCACATCTACAAACTCCTATTGCTCGCGGGGCTGGATAACTACGGAAATGAGCAGTGTGGCCGCAACAAGTAGGCCTGCTTCTTGATTATTTACATGCTAATATTTCGTAATTATTGCACTTCTAATTCCAGAATTATGTTTCACAATTTTATAATCTAACTTTTCAATTTCTAAGTGACTCATGGATAGAAATACGAGATTTTTGTTTAATTTTTTCTCGATATTTATAATCTGTCGATGGCCTAGGTTCACGGCCAAATTATGCAAAAGGAAAGTTTTGGAAATATGACATGTGAAATGTAATTATACTCTGTATATAGAGTGTATTTTGTAATTAAAACAAATATTTTTGATCTTGATCTTAAATTTGATAACAGTAATTATTATATTATTATCGATGAGATAGTTTTTATTTTGAAAAATAAAATAAAAAGTCCAAAATATGCTATTTCGAATCTCTCCAATTGGCTGTCGACCACATGAGAACAATCCTACGTGGAATGGAACAGACCAGTTGTCAGTTGAAATCGGCTAATGCCCACAACCTGATAAGATATAGATAAGGCATAGACTCCTACCACCGTCAGATGGATTCATTTTCTCAATCCAACGGCTACAGATAATGTCTCCACCCGAAAAATCTCTCTCCATCACCCATTTCTTGCTCTATATCCCCACCAAAAAAATACCACATCACACAACACACTCTACTTTCTACTCCTCCACAACCTTCCTCCATGGCCGCCACCACCGTCGCCGCCGCTACATCCTCCTTCATTGGCACACGCCTCACGGATGCACACTCCGGGTCGGGCCGTGTTCTCGCCCGGTTCGGATTCGGAGCCAAGAAAGCTGGACCCAAGAAAGTGTCAAAGTCCGTCACCTCAGATCGCCCATTGTGGTACCCTGGAGCTCAGGCACCCGAATGGCTCGATGGAAGTCTGGTTGGTGATTATGGATTCGACCCTTTTGGCCTGGGAAAACCTGCCGAGTACTTGCAGTATGACTTGGATTCTCTAGATCAGAACTTGGCCAAGAACTTGGCGGGTGATATTATTGGGACCAGGACTGAGACTGCTGATGTTAAATCAACACCGTTTCAGCCTTACAGTGAGGTTTTTGGACTCCAGAGGTTTAGGGAGTGCGAGCTGATCCATGGAAGGTGGGCTATGTTGGCCACTCTTGGTGCCTTGACTGTTGAGTGGCTCACCGGCATCACATGGCAAGATGCCGGAAAGGTAAGCACATATTTTCTTTCAACTAGCTAATATTGATATATTTAACATACATCTAGAGTCAATTATGCCATTTACTTGTCCCTTGAGTTACGGATCGGCCTGATATTAGATAGTCAGTACTTGTATTAGTTAATATTCCTAAAGAGAGACGGTTTTTGTGACGAAAGAGGCATTAGTTCATTTAACGTATGTCCGTCGACCATTATTTGATAAAAACTATGTTTTGAATAGTGATTTTTAGGAGAATGCGTGGCTAGTATGTAAATCTTTTTGATGTACGTGTAAAATATTTTAGTGTGCGAATGTATGGTTAAAAATAAGTATGTAAAAAAAGAGTTTGTAAATAATAGTTGTCAAATATGGGCTTAATTAAAAATTATGCAGACATATAGATGTAGCTATCTCATTTTGAGTGAAAATTACAAATCCATGTGTGTATTTCGTGTGTTTTTTTTAGGTGGTTTTGCTTATTATTTCTCTCGAAATGGGATTGGGTGGGTCAACGGGCAGTCATGATTAAAGATTAAAGAACAAAATTGTGAGATGTGACAATATTAAATGAGAGATACGTTCAATTCTTTCTCATTGAGTCTACTGAGCGTATCTAAACTGATGTTATAACACTAATAGTGAAGATAGTATTATTACATGGATCATTAGTACTTGTCCCGAAAAATATTAGAAACTACTCAAAATTGTTTGATTTACCGAAATTTCTTGATTAAAATTTGATCTTGATGGATCAAAATTTAGAATGACTAATGGATTTACATTTCACAGGTTGAGCTTGTTGAGGGTTCCTCCTACCTTGGTCAACCACTTCCATTCTCCATAACCACATTAATATGGATCGAGGTCCTTGTCATTGGATACATTGAGTTCCAGAGGAATGCCGAGCTTGACCCTGAGAAGAGGCTTTACCCAGGTGGCAAATTCTTCGATCCACTTGGCTTGGCAGCCGACCCTGAGAAGAAAGCCACACTTCAACTTGCGGAAATAAAGCATGCCCGCCTTGCCATGGTGGGGTTCCTCGGCTTTGCCGTCCAGGCTGCCGCTACCGGCAAAGGTCCACTCAACAACTGGGCTACTCACTTGAGTGATCCTCTTCACACAACCATTTTGGACACCTTCGGCCTCTTTTCTTAAGCTCCTTGTCCTATTTATAGCTGAGAACATTTTACTGGTATATTAATATTGTACTGTTCTATAGTTCTCATCTTGTAAAAATGGTAACATTTAACAGTTTCTAAGCTAAATGCCATGTCTATATATTATCCCTTCCTCGACTATAAAAAAGGGGCTCTCTCGAAATAAAGAAAAAAATCAATTGTTTGGTCATCTGATTTGCAAAGAAATCAGATTCTGGTACACTTTTGGAATATGCTTCAAAGATTGATGATCTTTCGATCATTTTAGATTTGAGACGATTACCATCACAAAATCTAATTGCTGCACCACATTATAATCATACAACAATTAAAATATATTTTTAATAAATACACCACAACAAATTTACAATTATACCCCTAATTCAATTTTATGTTGCCTCAATCCCCTAAATTTTAGTGCAAGCTTCATTACTTGCACGGCACGAATAGAAAACAAGTGAGAACATACATATCAACGTAATGATTATGGTATCTTGTTAATGTTAAAAAGTAGATTTAAAAGTGTGGCTAATTAAGAGTGTGTTTGGTAGGGATTTTTGGGGGAAGAATTGATTTTTAAATAGTGATTTGATGGGAAATATGTGGTTGAAAAAGAAGAAAAAAGTATTGATGTGATGGAAAATATTATTTTATTGAAAAATGTGTGGTTGAAAATAAGAATTAATTTACTGTAGAAAAGGAGAATCTGTACCAAACAGGTCCTAAGTAATTTCACTTAGGGACATTTAACTAAACACTAAACTTGTGGTGGTAATATAATTATCCTTAATTTAATCAAGAGAAATTTACAAAAATACACACCATGTTTTCCATAATATCTACTATTTTTTGTTGAATAGAAAAAAAAAAAAAAAAAAAAACACATTTTTTTCAAAAAATTATAAATATGCTATCAAGTAGCTACACCTGGGATGTTGTCTGGTCGTCTGGGTCAAGTGCCAGGCTATATTAAACTGTGTAACGTGTTACATTCTTAAATATTTTTTTTCTCTTTTTGGCAAAATTTACAAATTATTTATAAATGAACAAACGTCATATTCAATCGTACATTTCAATGAATTCACAAATACTACTCACTTATGTACAACCCATTTTTATCTTTTTATAAATCAAATAATTTATTCTCAAATAGAGGAAAATTTATTATTTAACAAAATTTTAATTACTATTTTTTTCATCTAAACTTTTTATTTTTCTCTTTCATATCTGCCCACAAATTAATTTTTTGTAGAGTCTCGATTTACGTTATTAATATTTGTTTCTTCATTTGAAAATTTCTAAATAAAACTATATATTTTTATTATCAATTTCCTATATAATTTTCAAATTTACAATGATATAAAGCTAATCGCCACAATTTAAAATTAAAAAAATAATTTTAAATTGTAACAAAATAACTAATATAAAAAATTATTTTGCACGATTTTGTAATTTCTAAATGATGAACGTAAATTTTTGGTTAGAATACGACAACAATTTTAATTTATCTTTAGACAACGTTTGAAAAAATCAAATGAAATCTTTATCTATATTTTTCAATACTTTATCTTATTAAGTTAATTTTATTTATTTAAATTGGAACTCAAGGAAAATGAATATTATAAATTTTGTAAGTAAAAACAGTTTATGGACATATTATGGCTTCTAGTAACTAAATGAATATTGATGCTATTTTAATCTCTTTGTCTTATGATAACATATTTAAAATTGAGTAATTATATTCACTCCACTATTTAAAAATTAATTAAAATGAATGTACTTATCCTTTCGCATTTAAGATGATTTGATGACAATTTTAGCCTTTACTATTATTGCATTTAAGATGATTTGACGACAATTTTTAGTCTTTGTCGAGTGTTGTATAGCATCATTCTTCAAATAATAACTGAATGCCAATGGTCAATTTGAACCAAAGGGTTTGCAACTAATTTATAACGTAGTGAATTTTTAAGTTTATCTAAAAAAGATATATAAAATCTTTTTAAAATTTATTTTTACACTAAATTAGAAAAAATATATAAAATATCACAATTGTGATTTCAATAAGTAGCAAACTTGCAATATACTACACGTTTTAAATGTTTCAAACTTGCATACTTTTTCATTTTTTTGGCATTTTTACACTTATTTCCACATTTTATTGTGTAAAAAATTATTTTCAGCTATTTTCTTAATTAAAAATTATGAAATGACGAATATACCCATCTCTTTAAATAAAACAAAAAAAACTGAAAAAAATTAATTGCAACCACAGTCCCAAATTTAAAATATATATATAAATCGCAAATAAATTATTAAAAAAGTAATTAGAACATAATGTTCATATCTTTTACCATTATTGTGAAAAAGTCCCTAACTTTTTTTTTTTTTTTTTGTTATTTTCACTCTTAATTACATATTTGATTGCACAAATCATCATTTCTATCCATTTTCTCAATAGAAAGCTATGAAATGATGAATATATCATCATATTTAAATAAAATGCTAAAGAATTAATTGCAATCATATTCGTAATTTTTTTAAAATGTAAACAAGTCTGTAATAAATTATTTTTTAAAAAATATATTTTTTAAACAAATGCAAACGAGTCCCAATTAAATTTATTTAAAAATTTTAAAAATGAAAACGAGTCCAAATAAATTATTAGAGAGTTAGAAATTAAAAAAATATATATATATATTTTATTTAAATATGAGGATATTTATTATGTCATAGTTCTTTATTGAAAAATTGGATAAAAATGTCAAAAAGAAAAATGAATGGTAAGGATGTTTTTCGCAATAACGGTGAAAGATATGGACATTATGTACTAATTACCATTTTAATAATTTATTTGTGACTTATTTGAACTTTTTTTAAAAAAAAACTAGGACTGTGATCGCAATTAATTTTTTTTCATTTTGTTTTATTTAAATATAGGGGTATATTCGTCATTTCATAATTTTTAATTGAGAAAATAGGTGAAAATGACATTTTGTGCAATGAAATGTCAAAATAAGAGTGTAAATACCAAAAAATGAAAGATATTGACATTTTACACACTAGCAATGAAAAGGTGGGGCGTTACGTGCTAATTGCCCCTCTAATTATAATCTACTGTATCTCTCACATGGAATGCAAATTCCCAATGGACTTTCTTTTTCCTTTTATATTTATTATTTATTCAACAATTAATTCTTTTTTTCTTTTTTCACTTATTCTTTTAATGAAGGGCAATGTCCAAAATTTAACTACATTCTGTATATCTTTTTAGACATATTTAATAATTAAACTCAACATGATCTACATGTCTACGTTCTTTGATATGATCTAATTATGTCAAAATTAGTGCATTAATCGTATCAAATATTCTTATCAACGTCTATTGCGGTTCGAAAAGAAATAGCAAATTATGAGAAAAAATAAAGTATATAAGAGGAAAAGAGATGAAATTAGGCAATCTTTTGACCATACAAAATAATTTGGTGTTAGGTGTTTTTTGCTTAATTTGCGCCAATTTTGAATGGAAAAAAGAGAGGAGACTGACCTAACCTTTGAAGATCAAAATCGTACTTTTGGGTGCTTCTTAGTAATATAACTCACTACTTTTATTATTTAGTGATTTTTTTTTTAACAAAATATTAATTTAATGTTTTAGTTATTTCCATGCATTACATTTAATAAAGTCTAATGCGAACTTCGTCTAATGCTTCTTGTAGAAAAAACCCAAATATCTTCTATATATTAAAAGTGGCTATGTAACGGAATTTCTTGTTTTTAACGGAAAAATTAATGGAATTTGTTGTTTTAACGGATTATGTAACGGAATTTTTTATTTTAAACAGGCAGCTGCACCTCCTTTCAGTGTTTTTATCATAACTTTGTATTCCGACGTCCGATTGAAGCGATTTCAAATGGGTTGGAAAGCTAATTCATCTGGCTACAACTTTGATTCAGACATCATTCTCTAATTCGATCACTTTCTATGCCAAAAGTAGGTCTCAATATGAGAC